ATTCATGCCACCACATTACATTTATTTTCCACAACTACCAAGCTGTGCTGCAATGTTTTTGAACCACATGATTTCCATTCCACGTACACATTTGTATCATTAACGTAAAATAAACGGTAAGACCCTGTACATCCTATATTTCATTTCACTTTCTTCAAATAAGAATCTACCTCTTGCCCAATCCCTGTGTGGTTAAGTGGTGATTACATTTTTTATTGGGTAGCAGGTGAAATACACCCAATTTTAAAGTTCGACCCTCTTACAAAACAACAAATACTAACACATAATCTAATCATTTCTTTTTGTTAAAAAAAAAATAAAAAAAAAAACTCTACCTCTTGCCAACCAAAAACACAGAAAGATATATAGAGAACATGCCGGGTAATCAAAAAAGGGGAAGAAAAAAGCTACTTCAAAATGAGATAACTGCAAGCTAGTTCACCTGCATTACCTTCTTCAATAGAACTAGAACAATAGTAAAAACAGCAAGGTACTAAGGCCCTTATCCATAAGCCTTGGGCCAGTCATTATCTACAAAAATAAGAATAGCTAATGTTCCTTGAACGAAAACTCAGAACCACTAAACATAGTATATCATTCCAACTTCAATGAGACTGATGTGAGGGATGTTTAGTGCCACAGCAGGCCCCCTGCAGTTCTTCCGAAGAAATGAATACCCAATGTCAATCACAAGCTTTTTCAAAAATGACGATGATCTTCTTGCCTTCACGTATGAATGACCCATTATGTACGCAACCCCTGCTTCCTTTTCCTGAATCAAATCCATCAGCTCCTCCCTAACCAATGGATCCATACCAGGGTTCGGTGGTAACTGAAATCTTACCTGCCGCCTCCTAACCTGTGCATTCTCATCATCATAAGCAGAACGCAAACTCTGTAGCGTTAAAGACTTGCTGCTTTGGATGGAGTTGCCAACACTAAAATCTTCAACCTCTGAAATCACTAAGCTCGAGTTTGATTGGATGCTTCTGGTGCTTATAACAGCCATCCTCCCATCATACGAGGAACTCTCAGTACCAGAGAATTGAGGCTCTCCTGCTTCCATCTGGATGAACTCTGCTATGCTTTGTATGAGTTGGTTCTCAAAGTCACCATCATCCTTCTGAATATCCTTGTACCCATATCTGACTATGCACCTATACATACGATATGGCCTTGGGCAAATCCGACCAATAAGGAAGCGTTCTTCTGGTGAAACATATGGGACTGGAACTGATTTTACACAGACAAAAACTAACACCTTGTGGAATGCAGGCAGGTTAGTCACAAAGTGGGAAAAGATTGCAGGAACTCCAGTTGCCAGCTCTGAATATATGAGGCCTATACCAGGCACGCGAACGATGCCAAGACTAGGGCCCAAGCCAAGTAACCATTTCAATGAAACTTTGTTGTGCAAATCATAGTTGTATTTCTTGCGAGTCCCATAGTGCCAAACAAACATGATAAGCATAATGATAATTGCAAGCACAAGGGGGACCCATCCTCCTTGAGGCACTTTTGTCAGTGCCGATGACAAGTAAACCCCTTCAATAAACCAGAAGAAAAGAAGAAATGTTGCAGCGAGCAAAATACTCTTCTGCCAAACAAAGACTATGACAAGTGCCATAAGAAATGTTGTGATGAACATCACGGTCATGCATGCAAGTCCTGAAAGCCAATATCCAAAAGAATAAAACACCAGAATGATGACAAGAAAGAAAGAAAGAAAGAAAGAAGGGGAATATGTTTTAAGGTTACAAATGGGACAAGGCAAACGTATTATCTTCTAGCAGCATTTTAGCAGAGAGGAAGCATTATTGGAAGAATGACTTACCATAAGCATTTCCTATTAAATTGGTATCCTGAAATCCAATAGTTATGGCAAGTGTAAGAACCATGAGTATCCAGTTTATCTCTGGGATGTAGATCTGGCCATATATATGTTTTGAGGTGTGGACAACTTTGACTCGAGGAAAGCATCCCAGGGCATGGCATTGTTTGATAATGGAAAATGTAGCACTTATGACAGCCTGGCTTCCAACAATAGCTGCGAGAGTGGCAATGACAAAGACCGGCCAAAATACAGGATCTGGTAGGATAAAATGCAATATCATACAAACCAAAACGCACAGCACAATTTTAGTAGCAATGAAGCGAATATCAGAACTAACTAACCAGGTATTGACTCATAAAAGCTGAAAGCAATGGATTCTGTGTGTGTAGACAAGAAGGCTGCTTGACCCATGTATTGCACAACCAAACATGGGTATATCACAAATGCAAAAGCAAGCTGCAAATAGATGGAAAATTATCATACATCACAATTGTAAAATCATTCAAAATGCAAGTTCGATATTACATTCACCAGGAGATGGAACTCCAGCTAGGATGGCAAAGGGATCAATTAAACTCGCCCTAATAAATAAGGCATGACCTAACATCACCCTTATTGAAATAGGGATTTCTTAGACTCACCCTAATTGATGAGGCAGTGAAATGACCGAGATCTGCAAACATTGCCTCAGTACCTGGAGAGCCAAAATTGCACAAGATCAGCACACCAAAACCAGCAAACCAAGGCAATATTTCAGTGAAGATGTCATGAAATTCCAATAACATTCTGTTTATCTCCAGATGCAACCTACCAGTTATTGAGAGAAGAATTCCCCCAAGAGAAATCCAACCCTCTTTGCCAGTCTCTCTAAAGAACTTGATAATATAAACCGGAGAGATTGCACGAACAATCTTTGGATTCCAATGTATTGTGTTGTACAAGCCAATGGAAAAGATAGAAAGCAACCAGATGATAACAATTGGAGCAAACATAAAAGCCACCCGGTGGGTGCCACAATGCTGCAGGGCAAATAGTCCCACCAATATAACACAAGCAAGCAAGAGAATTTCACCTATGTCAGTAAAAGAACCAATTACATATAACCAATGAAAGCAACTAAAGACAGATATACTTTGAGCTACATATAAAAGGGAAGACAGATATACCGTTAGTTAATTTTTTTTCTGTAACATGTAGCCCAGAAACCGACGATAGAACTGTAAGTGGGAAACAAGGAAAAAAATTAGCATCCCTCAACCAGAGAGAGAGAGAGAGAGAGAGAGAGGAAAAGAAAAGGGAAAAAAAAAAAATCAAATAAACAATCACTTCCAGACATGAAGTTAAAGCAACAAATCAGTAGAGAAGCATACCATGGCACCACTAAGTGTTATTCATCCATAGATTATACATAAAAGTTATAATGCAATTAGTATAATAAGCTGGAGTACATAGAAAAGTCCACATTCCATTGAGAAAAAGGGACTACGATGGTTTGATCAAAGTCATCCACATCGTTCTGTGACATGTGAAATTATGACTAATGGAATCAGAAACAGATTGGTTTTGGACCTTGATACCAACAAGTTTGGAATAAGAAATAACAAATTAATTAATAGTAGTAGAGTCAACGTTAAAGAGGAAATTTAGAGAGGAAAAAAATAAAAAGTCATGATGTAGAGCCAGGCTTGTGAATTGGACAACTAGAGAAGAAGGATATGCACCTGATATTGCTGGAGTGAGAACACCATCACCAATGACCATAGCAGCACCAAAAAGAACAACAAGAAGAAGGGCTGTCCTAAGCTTCTTATGCTTCTCCAAAAATCTCTTGAGGGGAGAAGTAGGCGCAGGATGAGTAGAGGGCCCATATTTGTAGGTGGAGAGCTCTTCATCAGCTGCCTGCTGATTTGGAAGCAAGCTGAACTTGGCATGTCTGCAGAGGAGGGAGTAGAGAGCAAAAGTGCCACCTGCCATAGAATTAGAAAGCAATAATACAAGGTTAGGTTGGTGTGGTGGTTGGTTAACCAAAAAGAGAAGAAAGTAAATGGATTTATGAATATGAGAAGACCTTCGCCATTATCATCAGCACTGAGCACAATAATGACGTACTTAAGGAGTGGGATCAAGGTAAGGGTCCAGAAGATCAAGGAGAAAGCACCAAAAATGGCTTCCTCATTCTGATGATGGTGCAGCTTCCCTAATGTGCTTGAGAAAGCATAGAGAGGTGAAGTGCTAAGGTCACCATAAACAACTCCGAAGCTCTGGTACGCTAAAAGCAGATTCCTGGAAAGATTGACCCATGAAAGCTGTTCCAAAAAAAAAAAAAAAAGATGAGAAAAGGGATTTATAAAAAGAAAATCTTGATCAAATAAAAGCAAAGATCTCCAATCCATTCAAAGCGAAAATTAATGAGAAAACAAGAAACCAGATGAAATGAAAC